CACAAAGTAGAACGGGGTGCTAACTTATGATGAGTGGTGTGAGAAAGATTAGGATAGGATGCACACCCAAAAGTGCGCAAGTGATCGAATGATGGAAATTTATTGTGGAGGACCTCATAAGGAGTTTTATTGTGTAATAGGGGAGTGGGAAGACAATTGAGGAGATAGGTGACAGTATGAAGGGCTTCAACCCAAAAAAGAGGAGGCATAGAAGCCTGAAATAAAAGAGTTCGAATCATATTGACAATGGTACGATTAAGACATTTAGCTTGACCATTTTGTTAAGAACAGGTAGTAGTAGACAAGCGGAGGTGAATGCCATTAGTTTGAAAGAAATGCAAAAGGGAATTATTTTCATATTCACCTCCTTGATCACATTGAAACTTACGAATGACTATATTGGGTTTCGACATGAGCATAAAGGTTATGAAAACAAGAGAAAACATCAGATTTGGAGCGAAGAGGAAACACCCAACAATAATGTGTATAATCATCCAAGAAAGTAACAAAATATTTATAACAGTAGGAGAGACAACTGGAGAAAACCATACATCAGGATTAATAAGTTCAAAAGACGCTGTAGCCCGAGACAAAGACAACTCAAAGGGTAAACGTACATGTTTCCCTAGTTGACAAGCATGACAAAAATCTAAAGTAGAACTAGAACAAGAAATAAGAGAAGCATTTATTAAGTTGGCCAAAACACACTGGCCAGGGTGACCTAATCGATGATGCCAAATTTGGGAAGTGGACCGATATGCTGCTAAGAAAGGAACCGAAGAGGAGGTAGTGCAATCAACGAAAGGATAGAGAGGGCCAGAACAATTGCACCGAAGAAGTTGCGTCTTGGTGGTGAGATCCTTAACAGAAAAACCAAAAGGGTCAAATTCTACAGAATAATGATTATCAGTAGTAAAATGATGAATAGAGATTAAATTCTCAATAAGAGATGGGACATAAAGAACATTATTAAGAGCTAAAGAATGACTAGAAGTGGATACATTGGAAGTACTAAGGGATTCAATAGGAAGCAAAGCGCCATTGCCAACACACACTTTATCAGGACCATAATACGGTGATAAATTGGTAAGCTTACCAGAGTCATTCGTCATAGGTTCTCTGGCAGCGGAGTCAAAGTGCTATGTAGTAGCAGGTTGAGAGGAAGCCGGATATGCAGTAAACGCCGGAGTAGAGGAACTCGCATTCATGACAACAGAAGGGCATAACCGGGTGACATGGTCATAACTGCGACAGTTGTAGCATTGGACAGAATCCTGGAATTGAGGGAGTGCAGGTGTCAAACTCACATAAAGGGGAGGTGCACCAAGAATCAAAGAAGCAGAAGGATTTGGACGAAAGCCCGGTTGCTGCCAGCCTGCACGACCACCTCTATGACGGCCTCCTCCGTGACGACCACCTCTATGATGGCCTCCTCCGCGACGACCACCTCTGCGTCATCCACCAGATGAAAAAGAAGACTGAAAAGGAGCAACAACATAGGCAGCATGACTAGGAACAGACACAGCATGCGGCAAAGAAACTGGCTGAGCAACAAGAACTTCAGAAGAAGCCGAACCCGTCGTGGCTCTCTGATGTTGTTTTGCCATTTGGCTTCTTCAAGCAGAAGCCGCGATCGACGCTCATCAAAAGTCGGCAGTGGCTTTTGAGTTGAAATTTGTGAAGTGGCTGCATTATACTCAGGACCTGATCCCATAACGACTTTCATGATAACATCACAATAGGTTATAGAATCACCGATAGAGACCAAATAATCATAAAATTCTTTCAGGCGATCTAAGAAAGCAGACATAGAGAGATCACCCTTTTCACAATGATAAAATTCTTGACGAAGATGAATAATTCTAGACTTAACATGATCATGAAAAATCTTTTCAATGTTTTCCCAAGCAGATTGAGCAGTAAAACAAGTACCCGGAGTGATAATATTAAACATGAGAGTGGCTTGAATCCAAGAGAGGGCGAGAGAATCAATCTGAACCCATTGATCATAGTCAGGATCTCCAAGAGGAGGACAAGGAGTTGTACCATCAACAAAGCCAAAAACTTCATGCCCTTTAAGAACCGGATTGAAAAGTTCTCACCAAATTAAGTAGCTGAAAAAATCAAGAACCTCGTAGACGTGATTCTTAATGTTGTTGAGGGAGAAGGCTGGATGACGAGTAGCAGGAGAGGACGCATCAGAAAGAGCAGCAGTAACGCGGGACGAAGAAGGAGTCTTCGGATCATTAGTCGCATCGCCGTTTGCCATGGGAAGAAGAAGAAGGTGGTGCAGACGTATCCAACCGAGACAACAATACACTTGATCAGAGGGGAGAACCGTTGGGAAGAGAACAGCTGAAACAACAGCAACAGCCGAAGATGAGGGTGGTGCAGCAGCGGCAGAAGTGGGGGAACAACAGCAATGTCGGAGAAGAGCAAGCCGTGGCGGATCAGCAGAGCAAAAGATGAGGAACAGCAACAACTGTGAAATCGCACTTAACCACAAGAGAGGTAGACATATGAAGATCAATACTGGAGCAAAAGAGAAGGACGGAGGGGTTGCCGGAGGATGAGACTATGAACGCCGACAAAGAAAGAGAAAAGACGGCGCGGCAGAAACCCTAAAAAAAGTGACGTCCCAGGAAAGCGGTTGATACCATGAAAATTTGTAGAACCCATAGGTTATTTTGTATTGATTTAACATATATATATAGTGTACATGATTACAGTAGGATTATAACAATACCCCTACACTAACCCTAACATATACATACACTAACAGAGGATATGAGTAGAATTCATTAACTCGGGTGCATGCGTACGTAATACACATTACTGTTTGAGTTTTGAGATATATTTAGAGTTAACCTCAAAACGGATCATTGAACTATTAGGTTTTTCTAATAAGGCCATCAATCAAATTTATTTGTATAACAGGTCAACTTACTAAGCAAAAAATTCATCCAAAATCATTCTGTTAATTTTAGCCGTTAAATAGTGATGAAAATCTATTTTTCACATGCTTTTGGGTTTATGAGTATTTTTGTCATTTTATATTTTTAAATTTTTATTTTTTTGAAAAACTTCTTTTTTTTAAAGCAAGTCTTCTTCTTATACTTCCTAACTTGTATATACTGGTAGTATCATTCTAAATTTCAAAAAGTCATTTTACTTTTGTATTTTAACTTCTAGATTCTAAAATTTTTTTTAAAAAAATTTAAGAAATGAAGAAGAAAAATTCGAGTTAAAGTAAACATGAAAATTAATAGTTTTCCATTTTAAACAAAAAAGAAAACTAAAAGAATTAGCTAAGACAAGTTTTTTCTTCTATGTTATTTAATTATTTTCAACTCGATTTAATCATTTAATTATTAATTTTCACGTTTACTTCAATTTAAATTTCTCTTCTTTATTTTTTTATAAACTAGAAGTTAAAATACAAATGATAAACTAATTTTTTAAATTTTATAATGATACTAGTACTAACATATACAAGTTAGGAAGCAAAAGAAGAAGAATCGTAAAAAAAATTATTTAAATATATATCCCTGGACCCAAAAACAGGTGAAAAATAGCTTTCTGTCACGATTTAACTCCCAGAATAACGTAAGGGAACCAACTTCTCTTAGGTGAAAACTATTTTGAACATTAAATCGCAACAGAAAACTATTTTTCACATGTTTTTGGGTCCAGGGGTAATTTCATAATTTTGTATTTTTCTTTAAATATATTAATATTTTAATTTTTTAAAACAATTCTTCTTCTTTTGTACTTCCTAACTTGTATATGTTGGTATTATAATAATTATTAAATTTCAAAAATTAATTTGTTATTTGTATTTTAACGTCTAGTTTATAAAAACATAAAGAAGAGAAATTCAAATTGAAGTAAACGTGAAAATTAATAATTAAATGATTAAATCGAGTTGAAAATAATCAAATAACTTAGAAGAAACAACTTGTCTTAGCTAATTTTTTAGTTTCTTTTTTGGTTTAAAACGATAAACTATTAATTTTTATCTTTATTTCAACTCGAATTCTTCTTCTTCATTTTTCTAATTTTTATTAAAAAATTTATAATATAGAAGTTAAAATACAAAATTTAAATTAATTTTTGAAATTTAAAAATTATAGTACCAGCATATACAAGTAAGGAAGTATAAGAAGAAGAATTGTAAAAATAAAAATAAAAAAAAATAATTTGTTTCAAAAAAAAATAAAAATTTAAAATATATCCAAATGACAAAAATACCCATGAACCCAAAAGCATGTGAAAAATGGATTTCCGTCACTATTTAATGGCCAAAATTAACAGAATGATCTCGTGTAAATTTTTTTCTTAGTAAGTTCACCTCTTATACAAATAAATTTGATTGATGACATTATTAGAATTATCTAATAGTTTAATGACCCGTTTTAAGGTTCAGTGTAATCATAGTCTAAACATTTTGTTACAGGCAGGTCGAATAGTGTTCTTGCCTCATAGTCTAAACATTTTGTTACAGGCAGGTTGGATAGTGTTCTTGCCTCTATCATCAGCTCGGGTAGTCGCCGTTTCTGATGTTTTAGTCACCTTTCAATGACTCTTAGTTATGTGCAAGGCCATACCATTGAGTAATGCATCGGGCTAGTCTCGAAAAGCGAAAAATACCCATAGAAAACTTTCTCATTGGTGGTTTAAATCCAATTCATGATGATGGTGAGGAAGAGTTCTGAAAGGAGCCCCTTTTCGATAGAAGTAATTATGCTGGACATGAAGATAGAATGACTAGCTATTGGTTCCATTAAAACGAAACATGAAATACACAAAATTCCCCAGAAAATTTGTCATTCCTAACAAAAAAGTTCAGCCAAAAGACACTGAGGTTATACTTGGCAATGTGGCAATCAATAGAAAAGATCTATCACCCCGACATGCTCTGATTTCTAATTACAACCATGACATAGTGACAGTCGAAAAAAGAATTTGTTTTTGTGATCTTCCAAATTCCCTATTCTTTCTTAGGCAAGGTCAGAACTTTGATTCGACCCGTCAGATGATTTTAAGTACCAGCGTCTAAGGCGCTCCTTAGCTTTCATCACCTGTAACCAAACTATATTTAGTACTAGAGAAGCCTAAGTTGGTATTAATAGAAAAAACGTTAGCACATTTTTAGTTGGGGAAATTTTTGTTGGAACTATGCATATACAAAAAAATTTATGTAGCTAGTAGTTTTTTACCTCTAAATCCCAATCAGTTCTCCAGGCCATGAAGCACAGTGCAAGAGTCTGAGTTACCACTCCACAAATCATACCAATCCATATCCCCTGATAAATCAAGAAGCTTAGTATTACTGCATTTAAACCCTAAGCAGTGTCTTCTTGAATACTTTAATATCCAAGTGGAAGCAGAGGTAATTCAATGAAATATTAGTGGCCGAAACTGACTTTTACATTAGGCAAAAAAAAAAAATCTTTATTTTTCATTGTCATATTTAAGAGGTTTCTCCATCATCAACTTTCTGATATGTGATTTTTCTCCTAATTGATTGACCTTATTGAACTCGTAATTACTCTTAAGCAATGTTTCATGTCCTTGATCGAAAATTTTTTTTTTTACCTTAACTTGCAATTGAGCCACATATCCAAGAACAGCTCCAACAGGAACTCCAATCAAGTAATAGCAGCAAAGGTTAATAACTGCAACTGAGCTTTGCAAACCAGCTCCTACTGCCACCCCTGGAAACAGACACATATTACAATCATGAAGTATAGGCTAATTCTTAAAAAAACCATATGGATGCCTGAGACACATGGTGCTATAATAAGACACGGTGTGGCTTGCCTGAGAGCACTGGATAAATGCTGTTGAGCAAAACAGAGGTGGCTAGAAGTACCGAAAGGTCTGATACACCTGCTGCTACTTCTTGCTCGTCCGAAAACAAGTATCCTATTTTACTCCCAAAGATTAAGCAAATAATCCAAAACACCAGTCCTATCGAGATAGAAATGCTCAAAAGGACTTTGATCGAAAATTTTACAGCTTTTGCATCTCCTCTCCCCAGTTCATTAGCAACCCGGACACTGTAAAAGAAGAGTGAGGCCAACCATGAATGAATATCCAAAGGTGATTCATCAAAGCAGGACGGACAATGGGATGTAGAGGCTTGAGACATTCAGAACTTACCATGCAGCCCCAAGGAAGCCGAGGGTTACATTGAATTCCCATCCATTGATATTAAGACTGCCAAATCGTTGAACTTTATCAATAAAAAGCTTTTATAATAAAGAGAGTGCCATAATTAATTGGATCATGCTCACCAGATCGAGAAAGCTGAAATTGCAACCTCGGCATTTTTCATGTATCCAGCCAGCAACACAAGAATAGAATTGTACCACAACTCTAAGCTACAATTCAAACAAGTATTAGCTGAAACACTGGATCACATTAGAGATTATTTGAGGGAGAAAACACGACCTCAAAGACAAATAAATTAAACATTGATCTATATTCTACATGACTATAAACTCAAAAAAGCGTGGTACGTTTGCTTCTTCATTAACCAAAAATGTACCCGATTTCTATGTTTGGAATGGGCTTATTTTGAACTTATATGCTGTCAATCAGAGAAGATGCACAGGTTATTTTACCATATTCTTTAGTATTCTACATGAAGTTATTAATTAAAAAAAATCTGTAGCAGCAACAGAATACTTGTAGTTCTGACTTCTGAACTGTACAATGAAGCAGCTATTTCAACGTTATTTTTCTCCCTCTTCATTTGGGTTTGGGAGGGAATATGAGGAAACTAGGATTCACGTAGTTTTCTTGGACCAAAATTCACATTAAATAGTCAAACAGCCTTCAAATTTCAGAAACTAAACTGCAATGATGAGAAACTTCTATCTTCTGAAAAGCATGAGTTTCTTCTGTATTGACCTTTCTCGATAGTCCTTCACAGAGCCATCATTACCTTTAAAAAAGACAAGAATTAAAAAGAGTGGTTGCTATGACTTACCAAACCATCACGCCAGATGATACAGACAGTTTCACAACAGGCCATATATCTTTGAATGCTGCAGTTGTAAACCCTTTCCACGAATGAGGACACCAGCCTCCAAAGATGTAAACAAATTCTCCAATCACTACAAACCATGATGATATGCTAAGGGCACTCATTGCACCAGCAACTCCCCAATTCAGTTGGTTGACAAAAAGCCAGGACAAAGGAATATGAATCGCAAACTGAAAAATTGCCAGCCACGCGACTACCATGTTCTTTTGCTGTGCTTGTAGATACATTTGGTTTGTCAAACTGAAGACGAAATTGTAGGCAAAAGGGATGAACCACAAGGAGGTATATCCAGCAGATTGTGCAATGTTATCTTTCTCTCCAAGAAGTCTAAAGAGGGATGTCGCAAAGATGAAAATGGGAAGCAATACTGTTAGAGTTATAAAATCAACAATCCAGGACCTCTGCAAGTAAATGCCCATCATGTGAAGTTGTCCTGCGCCAAATGCTTGCCCGCAGAGCGTTTCAGTTGCACTTGACATTCCTATCTGCAGGAGAGAAATGTGAAAAAAAATAATACATGGCTTAAGTCTACAACATAGCAGAGATACATTGAGCTCAAAATCACATCCACTGTAAAAATCAGCATTAGCTTACAGCATTCCTTTCACTTATATTATTTCACAGTAAAAAGTTTGCAGATGAATGTATTAATGCTGAAAGCACTCCAATGAGACACTTCTTGATGATGAAAGATTGTGCCTCCACATAGATTGTCATTCACATAGAGGAATGGAAGAAGTTCTTTCATGTTATCCTTCCACTGAAAATCACTTAACTTTTCCTGGAAGTTCTCTTATGATGACAATCAAGTTTCGACTTGATTATGTCACAGTATGCTGATTGCTTTTAAGTTCTGGATTTGCAACATTTCTATTACTATATGTCAATGCTACTTAAAGTTCTTCAAGAAACAATTTTCTGCCCCAAAATAATTCACTGCACAATGGCTAATACCTTACATGTGGTGTCCATATATTTCTCTAAAGGATTAAACAAACTTATGCTTCCTGATATATCAATTTTATCACAAACCAGAGAAATTACTGAAATGGTATGACTGAGTATTGAGGAAGTTCATTAATTAAGATATTCTTTTGTCAAAAAATGTGGCCTAGCAAATGCTATGGAACAACACTACATCATAACTATGTTTGAGACGCTGTTCGATGATTTTAACGATTCTTGCACAGTTTTCGACAGCAATAAATATAAGATTTGGAATGTTGCTTTAATAAACTGAGCAGATAGGAATACACTAATCTCCGAATAGTCAAGATTATGACTAATTTTCAGCAGTTTTTGAAAAGACTATGATAGCGATTACTATGCAAAGCAATCCAAAGGAATGTCATGTGAAATATGAAGTACTTACATGTCATAAAAAGTCAATTATCACCGCAACGCTGCAATTAGAATAACAAGTGTAATTTCGGAAATGAAAACACATGCAAGTACTAATGACTGCAATCTCCAATGGATCATTTTGCCCCTTAATTTGGAGGTACAAAGCTACAATAATTGCAGGAACAATGATTATGAATCTAGGTGAAAATCTTCACCAGAGATTAGTATGTAGCAAGAGATATAAATTAAAAGCCAACACACACTCAGTCTTCTTACTAATGAAAGCCAACAAAAACAACTTAGCATGTGCAAAAGACAACACGCTGGCTAAGGGTAACTTTGGAGTACGATTTCATGAACTTACCAGTATTCCATTAACAAACCGAATGATGAGAGTTTGGACAAGAGCATAACCAGCAAGATCCAACTCGCTTATATGCCCTACAAATGATTGAGTGACAACTATGCACCCGAATGCAGCAACACGTGCGAGGATCCCGGGCAATGCAACTTTCCAGATCTTCTTTGATTCATCAACAACCCGTGCTTTCAACTCAACTACCTCCTCTTCTTTCCCTGAACTCAGCAGCGACTCTCGAATCTCATCCCCCATAGCTGTACGCAAAAGCACCAGCTTAATAACAATAAAGCGATCAGCTTCTATTGTTAATGACAATCTTATCATAGAGGTTAAATGTAATTATAAGCGGAGGATAGTCAAGATGTAATTCATAAAACAATCAGGAAACGAAAAATGAAAAACAAAACCTTTTCACGGATGAATATTTCTGAAATGAAGAGGATTGAAATAGCTAACTAGACTCCTTTTCTCTCAACAACATAAACAATCTACCTGAGCTTAGAAGATTATAATATTGATCAGTAATGTTGCTTGTTAATGCCAAACATTACACAACCAAATTCTCAGTCAACTCTTATCCTGAACTCTAAGCCCTATGAAGAAAAAATGTTCGAAACAAATTTCCTGAAGCCAATCCATGTAGAGTGTAAAAACTTTAGTGGTTTTTCTTCTCCGGGTAGAGATTTCAACCATTAAAAAGCTTGATTTGACATCCTCTCATAGAATGCGTTCTTTCTATCAGTGTGAGCTAGAGCAACTGTTACTCTGTAACTGCTAAATCCATATCTCACAATAAACAAGCAAACCAAATCAGACAACTGTAACAGATGATACAATTTCTAGCTCCAGAAATATTTCGCAATGCGTGTGCAATACATAAGCTATTTGTTTTGTAGGTAATAGAAACGCAAAATTAAGATTGCGACTGATCTAAACGTGACAAGTTCAGTCTTAAATGAACATCATCACATCTAAACAAATATACTTATATTTGAACTTACAAAAACAAAAAACCAAAATGATTCCTAAATCTTATAAAACATTGTGTAGAACTATATTTCCACCATGCCGCCATGTGAAAAGACAGTGTCCTCTTGAGGCAGAGGATACGGTGCATTTGAAAATGAGACTAGAAAGCTTGTAACTTGCACTCTATTGTGACATTGGCATAAAGCATAGCTCAGTTTCCATAGATACTATGGAATGTGTTAATTACATAGTATGTGTTAATTATCTGTAAATGTGATGAGAAATGTGTTAATTACATTTAGCTACATAAACCAAGCATAAAAAAAACCACCGATTAGGTGTATATCGGTTTTGAGTTCCATGATAAGGAATGTCTAACAAAATGATTGGTCCCATTAATCACATCTTCTTTCAATTATTTTACACTTTTACGTCAATCAAACCACGTTTGTGGTTTACCACTTCCGGCTCAGAAGTGTCTAACAAAATGATTGGTCCCATTAATCACTCCCGAAACTTTTAGGTCCTAAAAATATGCATTTCTCTATTATTCGATTCAGAAGCAACTTCAATATCGAAATGTTTTATATTTAAACCAAGCAACCACAAAAACGTGCTCCTATGAATAAGATTCGAAGGGGTACTAAATTTTTATCTGTTTATTTGATATTATTATGATTTTTTTTTTCTTCATATGACTCTAACAATTACCTTCTGAAGAAGGAAGGAAATATAACAATCAAACAACAAAATTGGAGGTCTAAACTCATCAATTGGAAGACCCCACATTTACCCATATTCCACCACCTACTTGCCATTCCATGTAACAATCACCATTAAATTATACTGTACAAAAAAAACAGTTCATTTCTCCATCAGAAACCAATAAATGTTAATTGAGTAAGTCCAAATTTTGAAACTTTTTTTTTTTCCATTACGAGGAGACCTCAGTCACCATATATATATATATATATATGTACTCCCTCCATTCCAAAATATATGTCGCTGGAGAAATTTCACAAAGTTTAAAGAGACAATAAATATTTAGTGAAAATACTAAACTACCTTCATTTATTCTCAATACAATTCTATTTCCAATACCATTTAGTTTTAATACATTTATACTTTAAATACAATTACAATTTCTCATGTAAGGGCAATGTTGAAAAAATTGACAAAATATGACTAGATTTGCGAAAACGACATATATTTTGAAAAAAAATTAGTTTTCCTCTAACAGCATATATTTTGGAATGGAGGGAGTGTATATTATCATATTCACATTAATTAATCTCGTTTTTAACCAGAAAAGGAAAAAAAAATCCTTAATTTGACAAAGCATCCAAGAGTAACTGGCAATTTGCGAAGGCTGTAGTTGACCAGTGATTCGGGGGTGGAAGGGAGAGAATTTTATCATTATTATTTTTTTTTGGCCTTATACTCAAAAAAATCATTACTCCCTTTGTTTTCAAATAATAATTTTTAATAAATCAAAATTTTATTTTGCTTCAAAGGTAATAATTTTTCGAAAATTTCAAAAAGTAGATCGAAGTAAAATATCAATTGAAACTACGGTCATACTTTAAAACAACTTGTTCTCATAGGAATCATAGAGTGAAAGGATAAATTGCGATAATAATGCATGAACGTGACTGGAATAGTGAAAGCATCAATGTCTCTTACTCAAAAAAAGGCATGCCCATGCCGTTGAAGTAATCAGCTAGGAGGTCAGTTCACTTCTGAACCACCAAACACAAATTTAAGCCCCAAATAATTAATCTATAAAAGCGGCACAGATGAATTGTTTATGAAAATAATTTGTACTCATCTCTTTCTTCCACACAGACAGATAGATTAATTTAATAGTTGTTTTTTGTGCTAAGTTTTGTAAGAAGTTCAGTAGAAACAGGTAAATCTTAAACAAAATGAACTAATTTCTGAAATTGGTAGAAAACAAATGTTGAATTCAAACAGCGAGCGCAAAACATTGGAAAATACTTTGTCAAGTTTGCTTATTTTGTAAAAACACCCCTCGAAATATCCACTGGAACCCTAATTTTTCACAATGCAAAAAATTTTGATTAAGCTATACAGATTAAATTGTGAAGTATAACAAATGTCCTTTGAACTACTTACACTTATACATTCATTGCTCGAACCAAATATTATGTATTCTCTCTGACTTAAAATTATTATTTAGTTTAAATTTTCTCTTTCAATATAATTTTTATTAAAAATGAGAATTCTAGACGATTATTTTAGGATGAAAAAAGTGTTTGTTTTTGGAGTAATGTGAAATGTCCCTTGTGTTTATCTATGTAATTGAAGTCATTAAAGAAGACTAGCCAAAAGTAAAAATTATGAAGGTAATTAAGAGTTAAACTTGGCTTTTTGAAATAAATTATATAAAGTGGCTTTCATTTTTTTTTTCTCTTTTCTTTTGTGAAAAAAACAAATGGGATTGGATCATGGACCTCTCTTTATAATAGATTCACCAAGACTCTTACCAATTAGTTTACGTCTTTACGCTACAATATCCAACTCTGATATTCCATATAAAACAACAAAAACTAATTTAAATTAAAAGAAAAAACAGTAAAAAAAAAAAAGAAAAAGGATAAAAGAAAAAATTGGGCGAATCATTGTTTGAGACGAAAACAGACACCAACCAAACTACATAGCTGGCAACTAGGAGTAATATGCTCTGAAACGAAATGACCAAAGGGGCGACTCTGCCAGGATTGGAAATGTCAATTGTCAGGACACCAACAAAAACCATAAAGCCTGCCCAAACAACGCACTCCGTATAATAATGTGCATAAAGTCGATCAAACTAATTAAAGCACGTCACGGAATCAAAAATGTGACCTACTACGAATTAACAGTGACCTATTTATTAATTCTCTATTTTCAGCCTGAAAATTAAAAATGTGTAGTATCTCCCATCCTCCTTCACTATATATGTGCATATACCTAATTACTTTTTCCCCACATTATAAAAATGACTTTTTTTTTTTTATCATTCATAGCAAGGTCCAGATTCCTACACGTAATCAGAATCCATAGACTAATCAAACCAGAAGATTCACAATTCCTTCAATGGTCCATCATGTATAATAGTATTTATCAGATTCACGTGCTTAGTTATTTCATAATAAATCAAATCCATGTCTATTTTATGAAACCGAAGGGACACGCAACTTACATTTAATCATACTCAGCGCCATCGCAAACTGAAATATTAATATGAACGGAGAGAATAAATTGGCCAATTACCCTTTTATTAAGAACTCTTCTTCGTTCTATAACTCGAAAAAGCGTGTTGTAAATGAACACTAAATAGATTTATACTCTGTTTAAAGTAAAACTCACTTTGTTTCCTTAAATGTGTGGTCATTAATTCTAACAGAGACTAAAAAGCAGTTACCCTCATGATTAAACATGCAGATAAAGCTAAACCCAGAAGGAAAAAAAAACACATGATCAAGAATCAGCAAAATGTAAAGAGAAGAATTACAAATGGTGGGAAAGAAGAAGAAACAGAGTATTCAGAAACATTACATTTCATTTCAGGGAAACTGAAAGATTGAAATCAGTGGGCAAACAAAATTGAAGTCCGAGCAGGGGAAGAAAGTTGCTTTGATCTCACTAGCCTATTGTGCCATTGTCTTCATTCAAATGATTATTTCATAAATTTGGAAGGGAAAGAATGCGTTAAAAAAAAAACAGAGTACAACCCCATAGAAGAACAGCAACAAAAACTGAGAAAATGCAAGAAAATCACAAATGTAATTACAAACAGGAGGAAGAAAGAAAAGGGCAACTGACCTGATCAGTGATTATCAGCAGCTACCTTTATGTAGAAAACTCACAGAGTGTTGAATTGGCAACAAAAAAGAACCAACTTTATTAGGCAAAGGAAGAAGAGGAAGGACAGGGGAACCGAGGAAGTACAGCTTTAAAAAGTGCAACTGGAATGTATTTCTTTAATATATGCTCGAGCATGACGTGGCAAGTCTTAGAGCTATGGTTCCCTCTTTTGAGCCATCAGATATTAGCCATACAAGAAATAATAAATACTCCGGCTGTCCCAAAATTAATGTTCACTTTGAGATTTTACTTTTAATACAATTTAAACTAGAATAGAAATCCAAAGTGGACAATAATTATGAGACGGAAGGAGTATTTATTTTTCGGTCTTTTTTTTAGACAGATTTGCTACCGTATTTAAAAGTAGAAGGAAAATGGTTGAGCTCGATTATACAATTTGGTTTTTTCTTTAGACAATCGAAAAAAGCATTTTAAGGATAATAATGTACGGGCCGTAACAAATTTTTTTTTTTTTTGCATATTCATCATTTTTATATATGGCACATAAATTTCAATTTTACAAGTCAAAGAAAACTTAAAAATGCAATACCATTTCTTGTCTATTAAAGATTTTTGAGAAAACCAGGAAGTTCGGATCCAAATAGCATCAATAAATTGGGTCATAAGGGGAAAAAAAAAGAAGTCATTTCGAAATTGCATTTGGTTCTATATATAAGATAATCCATAATAAGTAAAATAAATAAATGAAAAATCATCATTATCAAATTCGGTCAAATACAATACTCCATTGTCTATGATTTATTTCATACTTGAGAAAGTAGAAAGTGCTGTTATTTGATTTTTTTGATATAAAAAACATTGTGAAGCCAAAGTGAAGAAAATGGGGGAAAATTAAATAATAACAAAAAGAAGTAATTGGAAAATAGAGAGACGTGGTTGCTTTAACTTCAGTAGCTTGCTGGGCATTACGAGAAAACGAAGGGCTACGTAGACAATTAAGCAGCCACCAACCAAGTAAGTAGACTTCTCAGTCAAAACTTTAAAGCAATTTTTCTAGAGACGGTTTGGTTGGTTTTTCGTATGGTTTTTTACAATTTTTAATTCATACTTGTCTCATTTCATTATATTGTTTTGATTTTTAATAAATATTTTTATATTATCAGTAGAAAAATATTCAAAAATACATTCTAAAAAAACAATCAAATATTTTACTCCATCTTTTCTAAAATTATTGTTAAATTTGAATTTTTACTTTTAGTTCATTTTATGTTCAAAATTTAAATCTAAATTGAACAATAATTTCGAAATGAAAGAAATAATATTTTAAAAATAAAAATTTATATTAGACAATAATTTCGGAACCAAAACAATGCCCTTTTTCTTATTGTTATTTGTCTTTCCAAGGATTGATGGGGGCAAATATACAAGGTGGACGTGGAGCTACATATTCGAATCAGCTCGGATTGAATAGGAATTAGGTAGGACTTAGGGGCAGAGCCGCACACGGTCTTTCCCCTAAAAAATTCCTTACAATAAATCTGGACAAATTTAATTTTTCTAAAATATATGTGAATATATATATATTTCCCGGATTTTGAAAATCTGAAGTTCCATTAAAATTAAACTTTCGAATTTCAAAAATCCGAAGTTCCAAATAATATTAAAATAATAAGTATTTACACTTTATGGAAATACAGTAAAAAATGGTCAGAAAATGAACAGTGAACTTCGAAATTGTAAAATCCGAATCGCATAAAGTAAAAAATATATAGAAGGAAAATTGAGGCCCGAAGTTTTTGAATTTCAACCCCAGAATTTTGTAATCCTGATTAAAGCATTCGGATTTCAGAAATCCGAAAATATTTAATTTTAATTCGTGAAAATAGGCATCTGTCATAAAATTAGAGGATCAAAAAGCGGAATTAAAAATCTATAATTGAATAAACTCGGATTTAAGAAATCCGAGCTTGCCGGGATTCGGATTTTGGGAATCCGGTTTATTTACTAATTCGGATTTCCGAAATCCAAGTTTAAGGTAATATATAAAAAAATCAGACAATTCTCATTCGAGAACTGAATTGGAGTTTTTGTTTCTGTGGTTGTTGGTCGGCGAATTAGAGTTTTTGATGCAACCTTACCGCTAGATACATGGAGATCGTTATTTGAAAGAGATTAGATTGCAAAATCATGTTATTTGGTTTATTTTTTGTGTTATTTTGATTGTTAGAATGATGTATAATAGATTAGGGTTTTTGTTTGTTGATTGTTTGGATGTTTTAGGTGTTGATTTTGAGGTTAGAGATGAGAAATCATAGTTATTCATAAGATATTAGTTGACTTCTAAGTATTTTAGGATTTTGTAGGTTTTTTAATTTTGAATGGAGTATACATACTATATTTGTTGATTTTGTTATTAAGAAATGATTAGATACTTGTTTTTTTTAAAACAGTTATCAATGGCATGTAATGTATCATACATGCTTAATTTGTTTCATACAAGTATGTGATAGAGAATGGTATCATCAACACTTTTTCGAATTTGCTAGATGATGACTTGTTTGTTGAGGAAAGGTTATCACATGAGAAATTGATAGTAAGATTTATATGACACTTGGTTGGGATCCAACACATGTGAAACTCCACCTTTCTGTAATTTTCGATAGTCTCGGTGGTAGGAGTGTAGTGAAGATCAAGAATTATTCGCATGTAGAGCTCATGAACCGTGTAGCTCCAACGTCACGTTTGGATTTATACATAGATTTGGAAGATATCACTCACGAAGAAAGAGAAGCGAGTTTGGAAAACAACATGGATGGTGGTTTTCCAAGGGGCAATGTGCTAGTACTTCTCAAAACCGTGATGAAAAGGAGACACCTTTATTTGCACAAGATGACTACATGGAAGATGAGGATCCCGACTACATAGCTCCAAGCGAAAGTGAAGAAGATCGTGAGTTCTTTTCAGATAGTGATGTAGAGAAAAGTGATGATGAATTATTGCAAAATGAGGAAAGGGATCTTAATCCATTGCCCCGACGCCTTGTATATAGTAAGATGGGGAAATGGGATGCCTCGTGTGTGGACAAGAATGAGTTTGTTCTTAAGATGTGGGATGAGACCCCCGAAGGAATGGACATTAGTGTTTGTTTCAAATGCCAATCAGAAGCAAAACATGCTGTGAAATTATGGAACATCCATCATAAAAGAGAATATAGGGTTGTCGTGAGTAGTTCAACGACGTGGGCTGTGCGGTGCAAAACATTAGATGTACCAAGTGATGATGGTGATCTACCATATGAGTGGAAGATGCGTATGTCTTCGAAAGATCACGGCCTTCATCAAATTGTGAGATGAAATGATGCACATAATTGCATAACTCCCATAAGTGATAATAACAATCAATGTGTGGACGCGTCTTTGATTGCTAGACTCATCAGGAGAAAGGTTGAGGACAACGTAGGTTCTACGATGGCCTCGGCATAGAAAGATGTAAAGACCTTATTGAAAGTAGATATGCCATTTAAAAGAGCGTGGCAGGGAGGAGGAAAGCCATAGAAGCGGTATATGGTGATTGCACCTCGAATTTCGAAGAACTTGCTAAATAAATATCAACTTTTATAATTGTTATGCGCATTATTATTATTTTTTTTGTTACATGTATTGAAATGTTTTAACTATGACTCGTTTGTTGTATAGGTATATCGCTGCGCTTAAATTTACTAATCCTGAGACTGTAGTAGAGTGGGAATAGAAGGAGGGAGAAGAACGTTGGAATAGGGGAAATAGGGCACTTAAATATGTGTTCTGGTCATTTTCACCAGTGGCTGCTACGTTTCTTGAATGTACATTTTACCGGTTGCATTTGCAATCGTGGATAATGAGACAGTAGAGAGTTGGACATTTTTATGAGGAATTTGAGGTTGTGGGTTGTGCAGGATAGAATCGTAAGTGTGATATCCGACCGGAATGCAAGGTTGTTGAGGGCAATGTCACATATGGATGAATGGCATGATTTAGGGGATGGTGGCCACTTTTATTACCTCTGTCATTTTTACAGCAATCTTGTGTCACGACATAACAACAGAAAGGTGAAGCGGTTATGTTGGAAGATGGACACGACGCTTTCAAGACAAAAATACAACCGTTTGAGGGCAAAGA